GTGATTTGTGGGTGTCTGGAGGTAGAAGAAGGTTGGAGGTAGGAGAATGGAGACTGTTGGATCTTAATTGTAAAAAAATTCGTACGTTGAAACTACGTACAAACACAGTTGTGTAGCATTCGAAATTCGAATTCTCCCCCTCCCCCCATTTGCCGTCGTGGAATTCCTTCTCCAGCCTCCACTGCCGCCACCCCCACACCTAGCCTCCCTTCTCGCTCGAAATCACCACTCAATTCAATTCGATCGGAAGCTGCCGAATCCTAAACCCCATGAAGATCTCCGAGCTCTCGCCCGAGTGCCGGATCTCCCAGCTCTCCCCCGAGCACCGGCCGCCGCCGCCGCACGCCGCCCTCCTCACCGACCTCAACAGGGTCGTCTCCAACGTCGAGGCGCTCGACGCCTCCGATTCCTCTTCCCTGGAGAAGCTCGGTGCCGATCTCCGCTGCCTCCTCACCAACCTCGCATCCGCCGCTTCCTCCTCCTCCTCGGGTCTCAACGGGGCGTTCAGGCTCAAGGTATGGAACCTCGCCTTCCGCCTCTGGAACGCGTGCGTCGACCGCGCCAACCACAACTTCCCTGCGAGGGCCCCCGAGGCCGCGGTCGCGGAGACGGAGATTCGGCAGGCGGCGCCGGAGCTCCTCCTCATCGCCGGCCTCCCGGAAGGCGTTCCCAACGCCACTGCGAAGGCGGCGTCCCTTTTCCACCGCACCGGCCTGGTCTGGCTTGACCTCGGCCGCGCCGACCTCGCTTCCGCCTGCTTCGAGAAGGCCACGCCGCTGGTCTGCGCCGCTGACACGGAGGAGGATCGGGACATCCTGCTGGACCTCAACCTCGCGCGCGCGCGCGCGGCGTCGAGTCAGGGCAAGCACGCCCTCGCCGTCGCGTTGCTAAGCCGGTCCAAGCCCCTCGCCGCGGCGTCTTCTGAGGGGGTCAAAGCCCTCGCCGAGGCGTACTTCCTCCTCGGCAAGGCTGCTTTCGCCACAAAATCCCCGGATCCCGCCATCGACGCGTCGACCCTCCTAACCGAAGCGCTTGATCTCTGCGAGAAGGCCGCGGCCTCCCCCTGCTGCGACACCCCGACGACCCCGAGATCCACTCCTGCAACCCCAAAGCTCCAAGTGATTAAGGATAAATGCCTCCGCTTCCTCGCCGCCGAGCGTCTCGAAGCCAACGACTACGAAGGCACCCTGCACTGTACCAGGGTCTCGAGAGCCTCACCAGGGCTGGGGAAGGAGCACTCCAGCATTGCGTTCATGGCGCTGCGTGCGTGTCTCAGCAGCGGTAAATTGGTGGACGCCGAGAGGGAGCTCGGTAGGCTCATGGCCAATGAGGAAGCGCCCGAATTCTTGTGCGCGTCGGCAGCCGAGCTGTACCTAGCCAGTGCGGGGCTGGATGCTGCACTTAAGGTGCTTGTTGCACTTGCCGCACGGTGCCGCGCCAGTGCTGCAGCTGCTGCAGTGAGGGTGTTGAAAACGGTGGTTCAGGGTGCAGGCGGCGGGGCTGGGCGTGCAAGAGCGATTGCTGAGCTCGTGTCAGATGAGAGGGTGGTTGCGCTGTTCAATGGCCCTGCTAACACCCATGAGCGTGACACAATGCATGCACTGCTATGGACATGGTTTGTATTCTCTTACACTACTGAACTCATACAGTAGTACTTATAAGAAAATGTATGCACCTACTGAAGCTGGCATTTGTAATTTTGAACAGTGGCTCTGAGCATTTCCATGCAAACAACTGCGAGATCGGTGCGGATTTGATTGAGAGGTCGATGCTTTATGTTTCCCGTGACGAGGAAAGCAGATCCCGCCGTGCAAAATGCTTCCGAGTACTTTGCCTTTGCCATATGGCACTTCGTCATCTTGATCGAGCCCAAGAGTTCATAACTGAGGCTGAAAAGGTATTGATCTTTCTCCCCGTTGCCTTGTTAGATGATATTGTGTGATGCTTTCTTATGCTTGAATCAATGCATACCTGTAGGTTGAACCCAATATCCACTGTGCCTTTCTGAAGGTAATGTTCTGTACATGCTGTCAGTTTTACAGGGTTCCATTTTTAGTTTTAGCACTTTTTTACTAATACATATGCATTTTCTAGTTTAAGATCCTTCTGCACAAGAAGGAGGATGACGAGGCTATCAAGCTGATGAAGACCATGGTGGGCTATGTTGACTTCAACCCTCACTTCCTGACGCTCTCGATTCATGAAGCTATCGTCTGCAAGTCTTTCCGTGTGGCAGTTGCTTCGTTAACCTTCCTTCTAGGCCTCTACTCTGCTGGAAAGCCATTGCCAATGAGCGAGGCCACTGTCCTCCGCAACCTGATAGCCCTCCTCCTTCGTGAGCCAGGATCCGAGACTGAGATTCTGAAGTACTCAAGACGTGCCAAGCTACGGATGGATGAGCTTGGTGTGGAAACTTTTTTGGGAAAGGGGACTGTAGGGCTGCGTGAACTGAATTGGTTTGCTGTCAGTTCATGGAATATGGCTTTAAAGGTGGTAAAAGAGAAGAAGTATGATTATTCCTCTGAATTCTTTGAGCTTGCAGCTGAATTTTTCAGCTCTGGTAATGGGGAAGATGATGCTAACCTTCTCTTGATTTGCAAATCATTGATCATGAGTGTCAGTTGCATGCTCCAGGCTGAAGAGCTAAACAAGTCTCCATTGTCAGACTCTGACCTTAAAAAGGGCATTGAGATGCTGAGAAGGGCTGGCAAGGTAAACATGGAGCTTGCCAATTATCAAGAGTTGCTGATGCCAGTGTGTTTGGATTTGTTTTTCTTGGACATTCTTTTGATTCATTTGTACTGATTTGCAGCTATTACCCTTGAGTCTGCCTTCGGCTCCGGTGACCTCTGATCAATTGGAGAACAACCTGCCCTTTCTTCATACATTCAACTTCTACCAGCTTCTCAATAGACTGGATACTAGCGCACACCCTCAGCAGCTCCAATTAGTCAAGAGCTTTGCAGCATCTAAAGCATGTACACCAGGTCATCTTCTCATACTTGGAGACATGGCTTCTGAAGGCACCCAACCAAACCTCCAGGTTGCTGAGTTTCTCCTGAAGGTCAGCATTAGTACTGCCCTTGCCTCTCACTTGCCAAACTATGGGGTAATCAGTGCTGCCCTCAGAAAACTAGTATGCCTTTCTGGTCTCCAGGATTTCAGTGGTAGCATGAGTGATGCAGCCTATGATGTATTTCAACAAGCTTACCAGATTGTGGTTGGACTTAGAGATGGTGAATATCCATTTGAGGAAGGGAGGTGGCTTGCAATAACCGCATGGAACAAGTCATATTTACCAGGGCGGCTTGGGCAACATTCTGTTGCTAAAAAATGGATGAAGATGGGTCTAGATCTTGCTCGGCATTTTGACAGAATGAAGCTGTATATACCAGGGATGGAGGAATGCTTTGAGAAATTTCAGAAATTATCTGGTAAAGAACCTGATGAATGTAGCCAGCAAGATGGGGAACCAAGTACTAGCATGTCTGGTACTGGTAGTATGTCTCAACCTGTCCTAGTTTAGAAATTTGTGAACAGTGGAATTTCATGGCTGCAGATAAATAGAACATTTGTTTGAACCATAAATACCGATATTCTTCATATGATTGATGTGCACTCAAATGCGCTTCCATTTTATGATGAAAATTTCCATGATTTGTAGAGAAGTATGTGGTTATTTTGTTGTCAGTATAAATGTCCTAGAATTTAAGTATGCTCATGTGCAAGGAAAAGTTATTTTTTGTCTTATATTGGGCGACTTCTCTATAAGTATAATGATCTTTGTGTTTGCAGTGAGAGCGTCCCTCAATTTTAGTATGATCATGTGCAACACATATGTTGATTGTTTGCGTTAAAATTTACTTTGACTGGAAACAGGTTTTCTGAGGTGATTTTTTTTTTTTTTTTTTGTGTGTGTGTGTGTGTGTGTGTGTGTCAACTAATTGGTGAACCCCGTATGAAGCTATTACATTTCATTAGCATACCATATAGATTTCATAGGCATCCAAATTATTGCGGGAGGAAATTGGATTGGAGAGGAGCAAAAAAGGACATGAAACATTCTACACAACCCTAAACCAACTATCTGACGTACACTCTGCTGAATGTATAACAGGGGTTAGGGCGAATCCTTTTCTGTCAAGGAACGGCAGGTTTTCCTCTGTGAATACCCCTTTCCATTTAGCTATGGACATTTATTGCCTTACACAGGGGCCAGGTTCTGATGGCGATGCACGACCATAACCTGCTAATGGTGCAGCAGCTACTCCTCTTTGGTTGAGCAAACACCTGAAGCGAGCCAATCTTGATGTAACAAATCTTGTGTCATTTGCAAGCTTCTCAATCGGAGTCCACAGTCTCTCTTCAAGGATATGCAATGTAAGAGGATTGGTGAGTCAAAAATCGTTCATACAGATGGCAGTGCAACCATGCATTCCTTGGCATAGCAGATGAGTATTTGTGAGTGGCATACAAATTTCATATACTACCATAGATTACAAGGTTGCTTGTAAACTCTGCTTCTGTCAGTGTGGATCATGCCCTTAAATAATATTTTGGTGTACATCAACTCAATCGCTATATAGAATCTACTGAAATTATGAAAGCAGTCATCTATCATTGTTCAGCAACATGCTAAATTGTGCGTGCCTTTGAGAATTTATTCTATGCAGTATGCTCTTCTTTATAATAAAACAATGTCATATCTGAGCAGTGAGCATGCATATTTAACCTTTTATGCTAGGAATTTTGATGGCATCTTACTATACTATATGAGAACATGAATATTGAAGATGTATATACTGGGTAGAATTTTATCATTCAAAGCATACATATTTCTGCTCAAAGTTAACTGATTGGAGTACTGTGTCACACTATATTTATGTCCCCTAAATAATATAGGTGATTATAGCTTGCAATTAAGACTCTGGTTTGGATAATGTTTTATCCATTAAATTTGAAATATATCAGGCATTAATCAGGACACTCAACCTTTTCAATCAGTTACCTGCAGCTGCTGCAGCACGTGGCCAAATTGTTTGCTGAATGTCTGAGGCATCAATTTCCTCACCCCACATGCAAACCTCACCACCAATGACCAATTGCTGCTGCTTTGTATCATTGATACCTTTTAGGGGCTCATTCATGTAAAATCCTTCCCATGAGGCATCCAAGTGATCCAGGTACCACTTATCCTGGTTGCTTACTATACACCTATGCCCTGCAGCAACCACTTTGGGTGCTACATCTTCTCCAAGCCTATTAATTTATGGGCAAAATTGCTAACAGTTAACTATTGGTAGCAGAAAGAAGAGCCAGGATGAACTTAGGAGTACAAATTGCATGAAAAATGTTAACTGAATCTAAAACCCTTTAATTAATTAATTTCTTCTTAATATAAAGCTGGTTCCTCCAAGTTTTGTCTTGTTTTCCATTTTATTTAAACCCTTTATTTCACTGAATATGTATAACCCTGAAATGATATGCCCCTTCATGTTCTGAACAACTGTAAACTCCAGGGCGAGCATCGTGTGAAACTGGGAGTCATTGTGCTATCGATGCAAGTAAAACCTTCCCCGTGTCATAAATTAAGCAGAAAGTGAGTAAATACCAGTTATGCACCACGGTTTTTGGGTCCAATTTGTCTCCAAAACTGTTAAATGTCTCTTCCCTGTAAGCATGAAACATTGTCTGTTAAATTTTTAATGGCTAGTAACTTACTGGAACCTGTCAAAATTGTCGAATAGGGGGTACCAGTTTATGATGTCGTAGCCATGTGATATCGCTATCTTTTGAGATCTTAATACAAAATCTCTGTATGCGTCTGATACGTTCATATGGTTATTTTTCAACCTATAAAAGGATTGTCTTGAATTAATTGACTGGTACAAGAACATGACCAATTTATTTTCTACTTATGCATATAGTCATAAAAAACATAAGGTTAGCTGTGAAATTGTAATTTCACTTAGTGCATAGAAATATACCATCCTTCAATATGGGGTGTTGTGGTCCAGCAGCCTGAAATTCAGAGAAAAGAATGAATGTGTGATCGATAGATCTATTGTTTGGTCACTGCACTATATCAGTTGTAAATGCAATTGTTGTTCTTACTTGTATTGACTTCATCACCGCCTAAGTGGACAAATTTGAACTTAAAAATCTTGCTAAAATCTGAAAGACAACATAAATTGTGAACTCTGTTAGACTTGCTGTGTAGAATACTAGGATATTTACTTTTTTCCAATAGTGAATTAGTGATTCAATGCATATAATTTATCCATTATAGGCGTTCCCATTTCATAATAGCTTGATCTTTCATGCCATTCCCACAGAATAGTGATCATTTGAAATAACTAGCTTAGGAGCGACTTCAATTTTGTCAACAAAATCGTTAAGATGTACCACCTGAAAGAATGCCATCGATGACTTCAAATGTAAAGTTTTTACTGACATCAAGTGGTTCTCTGCAACTTTCTGATGGCCATAATGATGAGTAGCCGACACCCCTGAAAGGTATAATTTTCACAATTCCAGCCTTGTATTTTGTCATATTAGTCAAATTGCACTTGTGAAATCTTACAGATTAATTTTAATGACTTCAATAAAAAATGGTTTTGCCCTCCAAATGATTTCCTGTAATTTTGGAATACATTGGACTTCAGAACATAATGAAATTTCTTACCATGAGCGGGCATGGCCAGGAACATCAATCTCAGCCAACACATTTACACCTCGCTTTTCAGCATACCTGCAAAGTGCAATTTGACCAATTTACTCACTCTCAGTGAAGTTTCTTTTAGTATGTTCCATCGTTTTGAAGGCAGTTACCTCCAAATTTTCAATGCTTGTATAATATTGGTATTGTAAAGTTTTGTGATATTGATAATGAAAATAGAACGCACCGTACAATGTCAATAGCATCAGACATTGTATATCTCTCTGAATAAGAGTATGAACCGTTCCACAATTTGGGGTATGAAGGTATTTCAATGGGAAATGACTGCTCGTCCACGATATGCCAGTGGAGAACATTCTGTGTGACAAAAGAAATAAAACAAGTAACAAATAAGAAACTATTTAGCGAGCATAGAAAAAAAAAGGCGTACCCAGTGCAGAGAGCTCCCACTCTGTGCGGGGTCTGGGGAAGGGTGCCAGTGGCAAGCCTTACCCTCGCCTGTGCAATGCGAGGAGACCGCGGCTCGAACCCGGGACCTTCCGGTCACAGGCGGTAAGACTCTACCGCTTGCACTAGGCCCGCCCTTCATTTAGCGAGCATTGACAGTTAAAATAAAAATTCAAACCTTTTTTGTAACTTATGGGTCAAGAAATTAAAATTTAATGCAAATTCAAAATATCAAACTTACCAATTTGCTGTAAGCCATTGCATCAATCACTCCTTTGATTATCTTAACAGGGAGGTAGTGTCTCGCGGTATCTGCAAGTAAGCTTAAATTAATGGTGTTGTGATCACTCACTGGACGTCCACATTGTTGACATTTGATATGTGTAAAAGGTGGAAATGCTGGTTCTAACCAATAAGCAATCCCCGGTAAGGAAATCTGGGTCTGTCGGTAATTATCCAAGGAGCAGAGTTGAGTTCAATGAGCCGTGATGTAAAATCAAAGTAACATAACTGACCAAACGTCTGCATTGATTAGAAAAAATAGTGTTGGACTGCATGATTGTGAGGCATCTTTCTTACATTTATTGCTTGTAACTCTATGAACCACATGAAGTAATTACCTGCAAGGCTTGAAGTGCTCCAAAAACTGTTTGAGCCTACAAAATATTGTAAGGTGTCATCAATTCATACCTATTGAAGGGCCTTGCATTGTGTACATAAATGCTAAGTGCGATTTCTGCATTTGTTTCACTTTCTCTTGACTCTTGCAACCTACAGCTTATCCCAATCCCCATGTCATAACACGTAGAACATAGATATGTTGTGGAGTTTACATTTCATAGCGGAGTTGACATTACATGATACTTATTTACAGACATAACTTGTGTTTTTCTTGTAAGCGTCCATCTGGTGTATTATGTTAATTTGTATTTCAGAGATTTAATAGGGAAAGGTCTATTTAGGAGGGTTTAGGACGACATTATGCATGCTAGATGCTACAAAATACTCTGAAGGTTTGCATGGTGCAAATAAGTTCTGAATTCATCTTCAAGGAGGGAATAGGAGTAAGCTTCTAATGTATTTTTAGACAATGCAACTATACATTGAACTTTTTACTAACCTCGATCTGTGCATACAGTGGATCTCCTGTTGTTGGAACAGTTAAGTTATATGACTCATCTGCCCCAAAGCTAAGCTGCAGAAGATGACGAGTGCAAAGTATCAACATTTTCTTTTCTTTTTTGAAGTAAAAGTATCAACATAAACAGATGTTGCAATCTGTATGAACTAATAAAAATATCAGATCAAGCGAGCAGATTACCTCATCTTCAGGTGTATGGACAACTATATTAACACAAGTGAGAACCGAAGAACTTGGGTTTATTCCATCAACGACATGGTTCAGTGTGATCAAATCAACCATCCTCTGGAAGGCGTCCTTCAAGATTGATTTCTCATCAGAATACGTGCTTCCCACCATTGACATTGTGATATCTTTCTTGATGTAGAGCTTCTGTGTTCCATGGGACACCGACTGTGGCATCGGCCACAAGTCGATGTTGTCAGCAGCGATGCAGGATCCGATCACCAGAAATGCAAGAAGCAGCCTCAGAGCCAGTGCCATCTTTGCAGAGTGGTTCGTGTCCTTCTCTACAGAAACTGCAAACACCTAGTAGAGTAAGAAAAGAATCAATGAGTTGTGAGTTTTGACAGGCATCCCGCAGCTACTACAGGTGACACAATCTTTTCCTGGCGAGCTCGAAAGCCCAGCCTCACCTCAGAGAAAAAGAAATGATGGGGAAAGAGAAGTTGCGAGGAAGAACGCAGCAATCTGCAAGCGCGAGACAAGTACCTTTCTCTCTCTCTCTTCCTACACCTGTTTGGAAGAGAGCCAATGGAAAGATTATTTGATTCCTATCTTAGGACAAAGACGAGCGACGAGGAGGTATATGAGGAGGAGCGGCAGCATGACATCGCAAACCGGGGTCAAGGAGTGGTTAGATGGAGGGAAGAAAAGGCATGCACAGGCCCTGGTCTGGTGCACTTCGGTGACCCAAATCAGGTACGGATGGGTAGGCAGTCAGCTCAGCTCACAGATGCTAATTTTGGTAGCAACTCTGCTCCATATACAGGACCAGTGTTTTCGCTATGTAGTAGTAGTGTATATATAATAATACTACGGAGTTTTACACAAATGCTGTGCATACATTTCTTGATAAATACTGTACGTGCATAAACGGGCACGTTCTGCCTTTCCGTGCTAATATTTTTTTTGTTGCATAATATGAACCGGAGGTACCGAGGGATGGTTTATAGTGATTATATATTCCTTGCTATTTGCAGACAGCGTCTGCTGTTTTGCTGGCGAGATGGCGGGAGCGGGGAGGTGCCGCGACCCGCGGGTTGTGGCTAGTAAAAACGCGTGACAAGGATCTGGTTGGTAGGTTGATCACAAGCTATTGCCCGTTGTCACTGTCCACCGAAGCGTCACGTTGCTGCACTCACTCAGTTTGTTGGCCTTCCCCTGCTATTGGTTAATTTTCTTTTTCGAAAGCTGTTGGTTAATACTCCTATAATTTCTGTCTAATAGTTTGAAAATAAATTAGCTTTGAAGAACAAAGGTATCGACCCTGATAACAAACTGAGGTATCTGGTTATTTCCCTCAGGTAGTGCTGGCTTGGTGCATGACTTTGCAATAAGCAGGGTCGAGACGTCACATCCGAGCAGAACCTCAGGATTGAAGCTAGCTCCTCCATAGTGGGATGGAACCTGAGGTAAGCCATTCTTGAGGAGTTGATACACGCAATTTACGTGATGCTAGTATATGAAACATGAAAAGGGTGCGTAAGAAATGGTTGTGAATTACCTGCTGCCTGCTGGCCGCGTGTGGTCTTGGACAGTGAGACCGAGTGCACACACTGACACTGTCACGGGTGCACGCACGAACTTGGACTGAGTTAATTGGCTATCTCATTTTGGGCCGACATACTATTATCGCGTAAAAGTTGGGCTGACTTGGCACATGAGGCTAAAACTGGATTGTGCTGCTACCTGGCCCATTACTGGTTAAACCTTTGACGCTACATTATAGTTAGCGAAATTAGCTAATACTTTACGTTTTCCAGTATCTGAGTCGGAAGAGGGTGTCCATAAAGGTCTGTCAAATCATCACACAGTAGGTGATGGTGATCGGTATTGGTGAACAGTGAAGCCAAACCAAAGGTCTTGTTTGCTTGACCGAAGTAGTTGTTGAATTTGAAGGAACTCGAACGTGTGCCTAGGCTGGGTTGAGATCTGCCCAACCCACCACTGCTGAGAGTAGTCAAATTTGCTATCCTGCAACAGTCACATGACCAACCCAACACTCGTACTAGGTCATTGGACTGCTAGTTCGACGATCAAGTAAGCATGCTCCTAGTTTCTACCTGCAGAGGGTCGTTTCTGATAGCGAGGTCGTCAAAAGATGAATTGTCTTGTAGCCAGTTTTTGCCGATGGTAGTAGAAAGCAATGCAAGGTCGATGAAACCTAATTGCCTGAGCCTCCAATCTTGGTTCCAAATGCAGATAGACAGGTTGGTAATGGTCCACCAACTGTGCCTCCAAATGGCTATAGATTTAGAAATGGGGTAGCTTTGGTTTCGCTATTAATTCTTGAAACACTTTGTGGAAGTAAGGCTAAAGTTTCGGTGTTCATTCACGAATTATCTGGGAATGGCTTTGTTTCTTGATTTCTGTAGAGTTCAGCCAGTTTCAAACTCCACATGTCGATCGATGTCAGCCATTATATTCTTGTGAAATCTGGAGCTCTTTCCCCGAATGGTCTGCAATAATTTGCGTGAGCTGACGGTGGCGGAAATACGCCCTGATGGGACTGATATAGTTGCACTTGTCCATTAGTGCCAGAAATACGCCCCAAACTTTGACGTCTATTTGTGGTGAGCTCCAAGCTTCCAACCCTGCACCGCTTACGAATTCATGCATCCTTCAACAACTCAGTGACCATATTCAGCTCCAGCTCGCTCGCCATGCAAAGCGACGGTGGCAGCTGTAGTTGTAGACAATGTGTTTGCTCGGCGCTACTACTACTACTACTATCTATGACTCGGCAGAAACAGGTTATGCACACATGGGAAGTGTCTAGCCTGCCATGAGTTGTTTCCAAGAACTCACCAAACCCATACTTTATTCACCCTCCAATGGTCAATGCCGCATGTAAAAGTTTACTAACCAAACTGAATACCTGATGATGATCTCGTTTCCCAGGTTAGGTTTCTGAATCCTGCACTCAACTGCTTACCTCCTACGATGCTCTCAAGTTTGCGAGTTTAAGGACTGGGATGACACAATCGAACAACTTTGAAGATCTAAACGAGTAATTTACAAGTTTAGAGACCAGAATAATATAGTTGTAAATAAGCAATTTGGAGTCTAGGGACCGGGATAACACAGTCGCACAAGTTTAAACACTGCTGGTGCACTTTACTCTCTCAAATTCTCTCCCCCGTCTTTATTTTTCTAGAAGATGCACGCTCTCAAACTCTTGTTCGCCCACTTGATTCATTACCAAATGTTACTACCCCCATGCTAACCGGAGGCGGCCGGTAGATGTCACAACTATAAATACACGTGTACAAGCTAGCACATCGTCGAACACATACCTACCTATCACCTGTCAGCCTGCGGGAACACACATACATGGCCATGGCCAAGCCCGTCCTGAGCTTGCTCGTGCACCTGCACGCCGCCCTCCTGTTCCTGCCCGACCCCGACGGCGGCGCAGTGTACAACGTGCTGCGCTACGGCGCCCGCCCCGACGGCGCGACGGACGCGGCGGGCCCCTTCCTCCGCGCGTGGGCGGACGCCTGCCGCTCGCCCCGCCCGGCCACCGTGTACGTGCCGCCCGGCCGGTACCTGGTGCGGAGCGCCACGTTCACCGGCCCGTGCCACAGCCGCGCCGCCGTGACGTTCGCCATCGCCGGCACGGTCGTCGCCCCCGCCCGCTACGGCGCGCGCGGCTTGTCGGGGCGGTGGATCACGTTCGAGAACATGGACGGCCTCGTCGTCTCCGGCGGCGGCACGCTGGACGGCCGCGGCAGGGCGCTCTGGGCCTGCAGACGCCGCGGGCAGCGCGACTGTCCGACCCCCACGTCGGTACGTCGTCGCCGAACTCGAAACTCGAAAGCTGACGATAGCACAAGCTAATGTACTGCGCCTGCTAACTTGGCTCACCGTGCTTGCTTGCTTGAGCGCATGCAGTCTCTGACGATCGCCAACTCGAAGAACGTGGTGGTGGCTGGCGTGCAGTCGGTGGACAGCGAGCTGTTCCACGTGGTGGTGCTGCAGTGCCACGGCGTGACGGTGCGCGGGGTGACGGTGGAGGCACCGGCGGACAGCCCCAACACCGACGGGATCCACCTGCACATGTCCAGCCATGTGTCGGTGTACGACGCCAGGATCAGCACCGGCGACGACTGCATTTCCGTCGGCCCCGGGAACTCTCACCTCTGGATCGAGCGCGTCGCCTGCGGCCCCGGCCACGGCATCAGGTACGTCGTCGTCGTCCGTCTCGGTCGTCAGTGCGTCAGCGCGATGCGCGGTGATTGGTCTGCATGAATGAGGCAGAAATGCCCACGTTAGGAAGTAAATCGAGAAAATCAAAGCATAGGAATAATGGAAGTTTGAGCTGGTTTATGGAAATCAATCCATAAACTGGTTTGACTGAAACGGCCTCGAAAGTTGAAAGATCTTCAAGTCAGACGGTGGCAACGTTTTAGTGCATTAGTGGAAACAGACCTGACCAGGGCCCGCTTCATACTCTAGCTCGCATGCATGGCGTTTGGGTTTGTACCTAATCCATCCATCGACTAATATAGTGAAATCGACTCGGCTTTGTGACTTGTTCAACTATTATTAGCATCGGGAGCCTGGGCAAGCAGCAGGGCATGGAGGTGGAGGCGGTGCAGAACGTGACGGTGAAGACGACGTGGTTCACCGGCACCATGAACGGGCTGCGGATCAAGACGTGGGGCGGCTCCAAGCGCGGCTTCGTCACGGGCGTCACCTTCGCGAACGCCACCATGTCCGGCGTCGACAACCCCATCATCATCGACCAGAACTACTGCCCCGACAGCAGCGGCTGCCCCGGCGACGGCAGGAGCTCCAGCATCAGGATCAGCGACGTGCGGTACGTGGGCATCCGGGGCTCCTCGGCGACGCCGGTGGCCGTCAGCTTCGACTGCAGCCGGAGCAACCCCTGCAGCGGCATCAGCCTGCAGGACGTGGCGCTGACGTACCAGAACCGGGCCGCCGCCAAGTCCTACTGCCGGAACGTGCAGGGGACCACGCTCGGGCTCGTGCTGCCCCCGAGCTGCCTCTGATCAGACGACCTTGCATTGCCGGACACAGCAGTCACGTGTATATAGATGCATACGTCGAATGTATTGTGTACGGAGTATGTATGTAGCGAGTGCTTAGACTACGCGAACATTACGAGCTTCTGACAGTAGATGCTTATATAGTCGAACATCTGTTGGTTCTTTTTAATCCTTCAGCTTTTTCACAGTATGATTATTAGATGAGTGCGTTTTTTAGAAAAAAATAAGTTTATTTTATTTTATTCTGGT